TTTATTTTCGTAAAAAATAAACAAAGTCGCCTTTCATTTAAATAAGATTTTGTATATACATTTTGTGTTTTAAATAAAGTTTATTAAGTACGTTTGGATTTTAAATTTAGATAATTAATGAAGTAGAGCTCTACATTATTATTTATTTTATAGCAGATAATAATTATTAAATAAAAACAATCAATTTAAGTTAATTTCTCGTTAAATTTTAACAAAATATACATATATATAAAAATATACATATATTAAAAATATAAATATTATAGTACACTTATTTTTTTCTTTAAATTAAAACATGAGAAAATATACGTATATTATTATCACGTATTGAGATGATGTTTCCAATCTGTTTCTATTGGTTTGTTACGTTTCAGTTGATAGATTTAATTTTCCTCAGTCGTGAGAACATTGTCAATTCTTTGTTTTACTCCAATTCCTTCCTGTTTCCTTCTGGTTTGTACCTACTTTGAAATCAGTTTTTTTAATTTAGTCATGATATATCACTTAGAATGTTCTATCTCGTCGACTATTTTATATTTCGGGTAATATTATTATTTCTGTTTCTGTCTCTTATGTGATTCGATGTGGTTTCTGATGAGGTTTATCGTATATTCCGTTTGTAATGTTGGTTTGACCTCTTTCATTATCCGTGTTTGAGACCCGTTCTTCACTCTAGGTTACGCAGTTATTTTGAGTAGTTATAGTTTTTGGGTCCGTATATCTACAAAAATGCCTTTTGATTCTTTCTAAAATTCTGTTGTAGTTACAATTCTTTTGTAATGCCAAAACATTCTTTTTCTGAATTGCTATTTTCATGGAGTTTTCTTGGATCACTTCCACTAGTTGAAAAACAGCTCCTCTTCAGAATCTATTATAAATGTTTGGTTAACGGCACTCCATGTTCTCCATACCTTTTGTCTTTTCTAATTTGAATTCCAGAGTGAGCTTTCTTCCTTCAGTTTCTCACTTGTTTTTCCCATCGCCTATGGCACTGAAAGATTCTAGCACACTGCGAGGTCAAGGGCTGATTTAGCAGCAGCATCGGAAGAAGAAAATGAGAAAAACGGCTTTGAAACGAACTGAAGCTGACAGCCGTCGTTAAGGAAAAGCTGGCGTCGCGACGGTCGGGGACCCAAGTCCTCAGCGCGCCGGGTCACGGCGCAGGAGCAGCGGCACTGATTGGTTTTCCAATGGGCCTCCCCGCGTCCAGGCTTTGACCTAGCGGATAACGCTCTAGATTGTTACATCCGGGAACGAAAAATTAAACTTCAGTTGATTAATTTGAAATTAGTGATGAACTGAAAAGGTAAGCGGCAGTTTTTCTCTGGTTTCTCCTGTTTCCCCATTCTACTATTGCTGTATCACAATATCATCGTTATTATCACATATTCAGACTAAGCATTCGTCCGGTTCAGGAACTGCCATAAGGCTTAGACATTACTTCAGAGGTGACCGCTGGGCTTGTATTGCGGCCAGGTCGCTCGACGTCCCTCCCCGAGTCCGGGTTCAAATCCAGGTCGATCCAGCCACCCAGCGGCTAACGTTCTCGCTTTTAACGCAGGGAAGCGACGTTTAAATTTCATTTGATTCACGATGAAGTTGTGGGGTTCGCGACTGGTTTTGTCGGGATTCCCTCGTTTCCTCCGTATTTCATTCCACCTTTGTCACAACAACTCACTTATCTATCCTTCGAATCCTTTAGTCATTTATTCCATATGTGACATAGGTAGAATCATATAAAACAATGTCTCTTCTCCATCATTATTTTTTTATAATGTAAGTGAAATCCGATGGCCAGCAATAGTCTGACATTAATTACCTCGAGAAAAAAAATCATCGCTGACGGAACAAGAAAGTCAGGTTCTTCTACAAAGTATTTATCCACCATGCTACTCTTAGGTTTGTGTAGCGCAATGACTACTGATTTTATAAGCTAAAATAAAATACATGTATATTACTGGATTTTTTTATATTACTTTTATTAGGCAAAAGAGAAGAGTTCATTCAACAATGTAGTTTCGTAAATATCTTTGCCAGCACGTTCAATATTGAACTATTCTAACTAAAGGCATTTCACAAAAAAAAATATCTCTATCATGCAGTTGGTTCAGTATTTACATCAATTAAGATTGAACCTTGATTACCTTGTCAACCTGTGATGTTGATTTTTAAGTAAGGATACACTCGCGGATTGAAAATGATTGTCGTTTGTCTTTTCGACCAGCAAAATTCATTGATTAGTTGAAGTGGGGGCCGGAAAAACTCACAGTGTCTACTGAAAACTAAACGCTCATTCCTTTGAAAGTATTAATAAAATATCAAAATCTGTTCTGCTACAGAAATTTACACGTGCTATATTTGGAGGATTATATGTTCTAAAAATCCGTATAATACATTTCCTTGAAATCTGACGAACACATTATTCTCACGAACAGTTAAAATAAAAGCAAACAAGAACTATATAATATAAACAAAAAGTATTGAGCTTCTGATTATGTTTGTGTTATAGTTAGCAAAGGTTTTCTAACGTCATTTATAAACAACTGTATGGGTTGACACGAGCTTTGTGAACGTATAATTCTTAAAGAAAAACGGGCTGCAGTACACATTCGATTCACATCAAGACAAGAAAAAAACCACAAACAAAATAGAAGTAATGAAATCCCACCCTCATAAGTAGGGAGCGGATTTTTATGATTTAGCATATTTTCGTCCGTTGCTTCAGGACATAGCTAAGTGATATTTATTGACATTTGGTTAGAAGTAGATGGTATGTAGATTAATATGTTGGTGCATATTTGTGCATATTGGGCCAATTTGACCTGTTGGTGCACTTTCATGTAATTATTGGACATATGTTGCATATTTCTTTTAAATAGAGACTTATCAGTAAAACGTTTCTACTTTTCATACGATCTATTTATTTGTGAGCGTTCATCGATTACAAAGAGCTAGTCACAATCACAGTTGTTTTTGTATTCTATAAATGATAAAATACTTGTGCAAAAGTAAGAAATTTCTTGATGTCATTTTTTTAAACCAGGCGGAAGAAATGTAACGAGACACAATGTACTTCACTAAGGTGAAAATGTTCTTTATTTTTTATTATTAGAAAGGCCGATTATATTCTGTGTGCACAAAAAAGTATACATTTTCATTCCAAACACGATTCATCTGCATTTTATCAAGAAAGATTAATGAAGATCAATGCATATTTGAGACATTTTAGGTCATAAATGCATATTGTTCAGGAGAGTTGCAGAAAGGGAAAGTATGAAAGTGTGATGAAGTGTGCGTGTGTATATGTGTGTGTGTGGGAGAGAGAGGGAGGAAGAGAGAGGAGAGAGAGATAATGGAGAGATTGAATGAGAAGTTGCGAGAGGAAAATGCATCACTTGAGTAGCTAAAATTGAGTCGTTTTAGATCGAGCCGTACAAAAGCGGAGACATCTATCGGACTGAAATTACCCTACGTGACCCCGCCATTCCTTGAACGGATCATCGATGCTATTAATGCCGAATCAACCAATTAGGGTCTTGTTTCTTTCCAAAGCCGTCATTGGCCTCCCCATCCCCGCCCGGCACCGCATGCGCAAGCGCCAAGGCGAAGAGCACGTGCGTCGCCCGTGGCCGCGGCCGCGCCCCGGCCCGCGAATAGCTGGTCACGCGTGGGACCTCGGCCCGCGTACCCGGCGCCGGCGAACTTTACACTCGATTCAGTGATTGATTAGTGGATCTGGTCCTGTCAAATGCTAAGGTCATTAGTCTCGTATGTGTAGTGTACGTTTTGTATCGCGATGTTATTCATCCGCTGGATGGCGAGATACGGCGCCGAACTTCTAACACTTCGGCTTGCAGATTTTTTCCCCAACCAGGTATCTCCTACCAGCAAAGCACAGCCCCAGTTGGGACAAGCTATAGGTACCCGACTCGTCTCCCGGGATGTACAGGGCATGCAAATGGAAGTGTGTGTCAGGGGTGAAGGTACGTCAAGGAAGAGGAAGGAAAGATAGCGCGCGGTCCGTGACCCACGTTTGCGGTACGTTCGCCTGGTGTCGCTCGGAGAAACCACGGAAAACTACCGTTCAGAGCAGCCAGCCACAAGAATTCTCGTCGAGACAGCCGGTGAATTCCACCTAGCTAGTGTCGAAAATCCTGCTAGCGTCCGAACTCGAGATGGAACCCTAGGAGCTCCCTGTCAGAGGCGCTGTAGTGACATCAATTGATGCCGTAAGCCACTTTTTACTCACGAGCTACAAATGTATTAGCCGCTGTCTGGAGATTGTAGTGGCCGGCTACTTTAATCGATAGTTCTTAAAAAAAAGTGCCGAAGCCGTTCCTTAACAAACGTGGTATTGTCCTCCTCAACCAATCCTCTGCCCTCACATAAGCACCACGGATACCTCGTAGATGCACTATTTGAACCAGCACATGTGGAGTTAGAGTTTGCTCGCGGCTGGGCGCGGGCCCGCTAACGGGATGTCGCACCTAGAGAGGGACTTCCGAAGCTGATGGAGGTCAGGCGCCGGATCTCACGCGTTCTTGGGGGAGGACCCAATGCCACACGCTAATTTTACCAGACATTCACTGCACCTAAGGGATTAGCAACTCATATCCGTTGGCCGTGCTCCAGAAACATAAATAGTCCAGTTTAGCACACTGCATTTATATCCTTTTCAAGTAACATTTTATAAAGCGTTATTATTTATTTATTAAACATAATTTTAAAGCACTTGAATTTAATAAGTCTACATAAGGTCACCCAGGATTCGAACAGAATGAGAATGTGATTGCTAGTTGTGAATGGAAGGGGACGACGTTTCCGGCATTTAGCGCTCGATGTAGATACCATACACCAAAGTTCCTACTGATATTAAAATACTGAGTAAATGCATTCAAAATAAATATAAAAATAAACTATAAACTTTTAAATGTAAAATAATAATAAATATTAATGAAACTATTCTGAAACTAAAATATCCCCAGAAAATCAGTTCAAAGATGAATAGAATATTTGTTGAGGCCTTTGGACTCAAAAGTGTATTTTGTTAATGTCCTGGAATGCTTCGTTTAAGAGTTATTTAATGATATAGAGTTTAAAAAATCCTGTCGAGGGTATTATGGTGTTGCATTTGACATGCATATTTAGTTTTGTTCTACGGCACCATTTAGTGAATCTTACGATATTTTAATAAGTTAACTAATATATTTTAATAGTTATTCTGCTATTCGGGGCGAAGATGAATCCAACAAATCAGAGATAGTTAAAATTGGCCCAACCGTTCTTGAGTATAAACGATGTAACGAACCCGACTTTGTTTTAAACATATAGACAATCAAATTGTTACCCCATTTAATAGAAAATGCTGAAAGTCATTTAAAACATACTCGTACTATGCATAAGTAATTACATACTAAATAGCTCCAATTTTTAACAGTATTTCCATACTAACAATTGTGTAAAATGTGTCTGCCTCTCCGTCTGTGATCTCCATTTAGCACCTCACCCGTTCAGCCGATTTCTCCTAATTTGATATCTCTCAGTCTTTTAGACTGATGTCACGGTCCCTGGAAATTGAAACCGATATTTTAAATTTGGGAGTACTTTACATGAAGCTCCACGCACATTTGCAAAATTTTCAAAAAAATTATTTGATTAAATTTTGTTGACATAGTGGATAGGGTAATGTTCACTTCAGAGATTGGAACAGGTTTCCTTTTCGTTGCAATTCTTAATGGTTCAAAAATTGCAAAAAATCACATTTTTTCAACATGTACAACTACAATGTTGAAGATAGAGATTCATTCTTAATGAAGTATGTTTTTGAAAGACAGATCTTGAAATTAGGTCATGGACAATTTTTTAGAAAATATGAGTAGTTTCCGCGTAATTGTGCGTGAAATGTAGGCAATTTTAAATTTTAACAATTATTTTCTAAAAAGTCACGGCAAATTTTTTCTTCAATTTTTTCGCGGATAGAAGGGACGCTTAAAAGAATGGCACGTGTGTCATTTGCGAAGAACTCTAAATTTTCGAAAATTCAAATTAAGAGTTAATGCGAGAAAGTATGTGATGTCTAGCGCTACTAGTTAAATACTTTGAAGAAATATACAATTAAAAAAAGTGATCATTTTGAAACTATTCAAGAGTGATGTGTAAAGAGGGTTGTGTTTATTGAAATAGTAGTATTGAAGAACGTTTTTCGAAAAATGAAATTTTGTAGTTTTCTTTTAATGATTGATTTGATAAGCAATCTCAGCAATCTGAAAACCGGGTCATTGATGTTTGAAAGCGTCATTAGGCATCTGACCGCTTTGGACAGTGGTTTCAAGGAGTTCTAAAGTACGCTGACCCTGTCCGTATTTCAATAACAACATCGAGACCCCTTTTCTAATGCTCTCGCTAAAGACGTCAGTCCTACGTCTGTGTTGCTCCTTTGGCTTATACGACAAACGTCGCCGACCATTGACATAGTAGTACGTGTCAAAGGTGACAATGATGGTCGATATGGTCTGAGCAGCCAATCATTGACCACCGATTTATTTTATGTAGTAGTAAGAAGGGGAATATTTTTCTTCAAAGAATTTTCGTAGAAATTAAACTTACACCACTTTAACAAAAGAGAGTATTAATGCATTAACATCGTTGGACCAACATAGAGCAAATAACGGACGATTGAAAGGTTGCAGACGGAGGCAGCAGCCGAAATTTCAGTGTTTTTTTAGGGGAAGTGTCATCGGAAAAGTAAATGTTGCTTATTTAAACTGAACATATACTAACAGGATGAAGGAAGTAGAAAATATAAATTTTGAGATATTATTGTGTAATGTGTTGCTTCAGAAGATACTTGGCGTTCTTTATGAATTTGATTGTTGAGAATAAACCAGAGTTCTCTATTTCTCAGAACCAAGGGTTTTAGTTCAATTTGATTATTCTTATCATTTACCTAAACTCAGCATAATTTTTTTACGAGATTATCAATAGGCATTTAATTTAAAATTAATATAATAAGATGATGCTTTTACTTCAAATAATGTATTTCTATAGGAGTAATCAGATTTCAAATTTGAGTGGTATCTAATTAGGATTGCCTTTGTAATTCAACAGTTAATCTCGTTCGGATAACATAGAACCTAGGTTATTGGAGTCCACTGGAGTATTGAGGTTAGCGAGGAGGTTTCGATTTGTTTGTAAGGCCTGATGTTAGTAGCAAAGATTCGTAACAGTTATTCTGAGACGAGAACGATATTTGATGAAAGAGTTGACACATCACTAGCTGTTGGATATTATCGGGTTTGACGCCGTTGTCGATTCAGCTTATCACATTTTAACCCCTAACAACAGATGCGGCAAAACGTGACAGAAACATACCAAGATTTTACATCAGTAATTTGAAATTTATTTGTGCTATAATTAAAACTAGTTTTTACGTTTGCACAATTAAGTATATTGTTCATGTTCGGTAAACTAAGAATGTAAAATATATTATTTTGTTCTTTCCTAGAATATGAAAACGGTGGTATCTTTTGTAACTTTCGACCCTGGTGTTACCTGTTAGTTTCGACTATTATTAGGCAGATACACTTCGACTATTTTTAGAATAGTGAAACAAGTACTTCTCTTTTATTGCTCTGTAGGATTGAAGTTAAGTCTTCCAAAGAATACCAGACAAACGAGGGAAGGAAAGTTGCAAATAATATTACAATTAAATTATATTTTTTCCTACAAACATTTTAACACGTATTAAAATAATCACTTCAAAACTACTTAAAATTCAAAACATCAAATATATAATAATAATATATTAAATAACATTTTACATTAAGAAATTGGTACAAATTACTTTAAACCTTTAGTTTATAATGCACCAACAAATTCTATGGTTTGACAAATTTGCGCTATACATATTGTGGGTAGTAATAATTGAACCACAATGATATGTTATTGAGTGTTTCTAAACATACCTATCCAACTAAGAAAATGTATAACATAAAAGTAATAGGAATATGCGAGTTTAAAAAATAGTGTGTAAATAATTATATGTACATTTATTAACATAATTGTCTTGTGAAACAATAAGAATAATACTTTTTTCGGAGAATCGAGTTCCGTGGATATTCCATCTTTGTTTCATTCTAACTTCTAACATATTCCATCTTTGTTTCATTCTAACTTCTAACATTCATTCTAATAAAACGCGATTCTCCTATCCTTATTCTCTTAGACTCTATGGCTTTAGATTACGTACCATTTCATCATAAAGATTTAGAATAAAAAATATCCACATCTTGTGGCGAAAATAGCGAACTTGATGTGAAAAAAGCGGACTGTCCGCTCAAATAGTGGACACCTGACAACCATAGTTCAGGCATAATTTCTTCAAACATTCACTTGAACATGAACAAACATTTTTATTTCAGAAAGAATAACGTCAGAAAAACGCATGTATTGTCTCAAACTATTTTAGGCGTTTTCCCTTGAAGAAATGTACAGTCATTTAAATTAAAGAGAGTTGAGAATAAAATTGGTATTCATTATAAGAAAATCTCATTTTTATATACTTACATTTCTAACGTGCAGCAGCGTTATAAGAATTGAACGGATCTGACACTGTTTCCTCAGAGCAGTTTTATACAATAGAAGATACGAGAAAAGATTCAATAAAGTTGGGAAACGCGGAAACAGCGCTTTCAGACAACCTGGCAACACTGTTTGGGATGTTATCGACTCTTGACGCAATCAACGACAAAATAATCAACATGAGTTTTATACTTTTCAATGTAGGGCTTCGACCACAGCATGATCGCCCCCTTATCAGCAATGTTTTCATAAACTGTATTTGACCTTCAGTCTCGCAGTATTGCGTTTTAGTTTAACTTGCTTTGTCTTGAACAAATACTGAAGCTAGTAACAATGCACAGTAGCAATGAAATGTTTAAGGAATGATGATTATAAATTTGAAAAAAGTGAAAATAATTAGGAAAAAGAAGGTACATTGAAAGTGACAACGTTAGCATAATTCTACGCTGTTAGCAAAAAGTTGGATGGACATGACGTCAAAACTCTCTGTTCAATTTTTTCACTTCCTTTTCACGAACGATTGAAGAGTTTTAGCGATCGACCGCAGGCGCCACTCGCAGAGTGGGTTCAGGAACCAGAGTTGCGAGGTGTCATTTTCTTAACTTTGTGTGTATTCCGCATCCACAGTACGTATAAGAGGACGAAAATATACTCGTTACGAAGTTGAAAATTTCTGACACCGAACAGAATATTTTATAATGGAATTTGGTCTTGACTGAAATATTATGCGAAAGTCATATTGCAGCTGGTTATGTGTTTTTTGTTCCAGATCGAGTAGAAGCTAGTACTGAGACGACACAAGAAAATACTGTAAATGAATCCGATGTCACAAATAGTAATAATCCTTCAGAGACTTTTAACACCATTTCTGTACCGGATGGACCATTGAAATGCTCAACAGAGTGCAGTCGTAAGTAGCATATGATATTAAATACATATTAACACGTATGATATGATATTTGTCTCTGTAGAAACAGACAATAATTCAAGGAGAAACGAATTGATTGAAACTCGAAATTAAGATGTTAACTTTATAATATAAAAATACGTAAATTAATGTAAAATTTCCACGTTCTATCTGAGTTTATTTGATACAATTATCACGGGTAAAGAAGGTAATGTCTTAATCACATTCATATAATCAAATTTTTGAATTGACCACTCAGGAGGAAATATCAAACCTCATCCCATACTTACACATGTATAAGTGGGTGTAAGTGGATAGGACAAAGAAGAGGAAGGAAAGACCGCGCTCGGTCCGTGGCCCGTTTGTTAGGGTAACTACTAACATGCACTTTCGGCCATACCAGACCGGTCAAGAGCTTAGAGCTTGTCTCAGCTGGGGCCCCACTGGTGGGAGTTTCGTGGTTGAGGAAAACCCCGCTAGCCGACAGAAAGTCGGCGCCGGATCTCGGCATCCAGTGGGGGAGGATCATCGCCACCTCTTAAAGGAAATAGATTGCCTTTTGAAAAATAGATTCCCTATTGAAGCCTTTCTCAAAATCGTAACCAACCATGAAACATACCTCGAGTTTCTCTCCTAGAGTATCCTCTGCAATGTATACATTAAGTTAGCTTAGATATTTTAACTAGCATAAGTCGAAAAACACATCTGTAAATTAATTATACTAAACGGTGTATTCCTTTAAGAACAAGTAAATATGTTAACAAAAAAACCTCCCGAGTTAGCAGTTGACGCGCCGGGAATCACAATCAATGGATCAATCATCTGACAGTGGCGTGTTTCCCTGCAGGGCCGGTGGGTGGGGCTGGCGCTGCCCTGCGCTTCCGCGCCGGCCGCCGCTACGAGTACGCCTACGAGGCCGTGGGCTCCACGGTGGTGGACGTGTCCGCGTCCGACGGCCCTCGCCTGCGCATCAAAGCCACCGCCGCCATCGACGCCCTCAGCGACTGCCGCCTGCGCCTGCACGTGGGTACCTCGCTCTTTGCTTTGCAACTCTTCCCCACCCTCCCGCCTTCCTCATATCCCTGCCTGTACAAGGTGTATTTTTGAAATAAATAAATTTAAATGTGGCCGCTGCAGCGCTGCGATCGCCGTTCTGAGCTTGAGCGCCGAGTGCCTGTATCTGTATGACGGAAGTATTTGCTGTGATTTCGATTGATTATGCATATTCATAATGTCTCTGTATCGTCCGGATGGCCGAGATCGTTAAGAACGACGCTTTTAATTCTGTTGAAATCTAAATGTTTGGAATGAACCAGAGGGCATTTATAGTCAACCTTAAAAATATACTCTGAATAGTTGTTAATTTTTGGAGATTGCTAATGAAGCAAATCTCTAAACTGGACATGCATACATTATGGTTGGTAGAATTAAGAATTAAAATAATAAAAGTCGGCATTCAACTGTCTATGAGGAACATTCATTAATTACACCATGTCCGATTAACATAATGTCCGACAAAATGAAAAGGAAATTAGTTAGAGCATTTAAAGATAGCCGTACTAATGTTCTTGACGAAGAGAGGAATCGGGGACGTTCGGTCCTTACTGAGGACTTGGTGCAGTAAGTTGATGTGAAAGTTCTAGAGAACATACCTTCACGATTGCGGCTTTTTTGCATGTTTCTAGGATTGGTAGTCATGAAATTGTTTGTGAAATCGAGGACATATATATCGAAGACAAGTCAAATTTTAAAGCTGGTTGTGCGCTATGATAAATGCCTTAATAATTAAGTATATTGAACTACAGACCTTTTTATAAAAATCAAACAGTTGAAAACCTCGCACTTGAACATTTTTAATGACAATACGGTTCTTACTTGAAACATGCTTCGTAATTCTCCTTCGTCGTCTGGTCCTTCTCTTGATCATTCTGTTTTTCACAAGAAATATGACTCTTTTATGTTTTTGAGAAGTGTATTTACTAGCCATTGCCCGGAATGTACTGGGCTTCGGTCTTTCTCTGAGAGTGGCCAAAGTCGATCTAACTGTGAAAAACAGAAGTGTTTCACTAAAATCATTAAGTTACTCCAATACCTTTAAAATAGAAACTGATATCAAAAAGCTACAACTGATGATCCCCTATGTCGTGAATCGTTTTGTGAAACTTCCACTTCCAAAACACTCCATCCCCGTTCGGTAATTTTCGAAGTGGACCTTTGTATGGACTAACCGTGCATAATTCTCCTGCATTCCAGGCCCCTCCTCTTTGTCATTTTGTGTGTGTGTGTGTGCGCAGGTGGTGCGCGCGGAGGTGCAGGAGCGCGTGTCGCCGCCGCCGCGCGAGGCTTGGACGTCCAACGCCCGCCTCTCCCAGCTGCTGCAGCGCCGGTCGCTCGCCTTCGCCTACGACGACGGGCGCGTGGACGCGCTGTGCCCGGCGGCCGACGAGGCGCGCTGGGCGCTCAACGTGAAGCGCGCGCTGCTCTCGGCGCTGCAGAGCAACGGACGCGGCGCGCGGGGGCCCGTGCAGCCCGTGCTCGAGGTGAGCGCCTTCGCTATCCACGCGCCCACCTCATGGGACAGCCGGCTTTACGTCCCCTATGAAGGGAGGCGTACGAATAATTGTTTCGACACCTAACTACAGTCATTCACAGATAAGATTTATATTAATATTTCAATTAAATTCAATTAAAACTGAGAGAGAGGTGACTCAGCGCATCAACTGATGTCACTGCAGTGCCTCTGACTGGGAGGTCCTAGATCCGAGACACGACGATAGCACAATTTTCCACACTAGTTTGTCAACTAGGTCTAATTCAGTCGCTGTCTAGAGGATAATTCTAGAGGCCGGCTGCTCTGATCGGTGGTTACTCCGTTTAACAGGCGCCAGAGCAGTGCCGTAACAAACGGGCCACGAACCGCGTGCGATCTTTCCTTCCTCTTCCTTGTCCTCTCCTCACCCTCTACGAACAATTACATTAACATGAACTACAATACCACACATGCTGGGAGACCGATTGGGAGATTAATGCTTTTCCTGGCAGAGTTGATGTCACTCTGGTGGGAGATAACTGGTTGGGGAAAACTCCGCTAGTCGATCGTAGGGTGGCGCCGGATCTCCCCATCCAGTGGGAGAAGATCAGTGCCACCTATTGTGAAACAAAAGCATACACTATACTTACGGGATTATTGACATCAGCCATTGAATCGCCCGGAATCTTTAACAATCAACACACCTCGAAGCATCATTACATGAAGTAAATCTACAATATGGGACAGCCGGCTATACACTCCCTCCGAAGGAAGGCGTACGGAGGATTTTTTAAACACAACCAGTCATCGATAATTTATGTATTAATATGTCAGATCAATTAAGTTCTATGCTACCTCATTTTACTTGGCAAGACTCATGCTCTTCTGTTGTGATCTTGCAAATTTCGCTACAGTCCCTTCACCAACTAGCGGAGAGAGAATGTATTGAGGGACGAAATAGGCGATTTTGAATTTAGCTCACAGACCTTTTTAGGTTTGAGTAGATGCAGTAGATCTACAGTATCGGACAGCCAGATTTATTCGCCTCATAAGCAATGTGTTGGCAATATTTTTTCACCTTTTAAAATCCATTTCGATGTGATTTGAATTATTTGGTAATAAATAAATCGGTGGGGTTTAAACTACTCTAACGGGTACGATACGCAAAGGTTGCAAAATAACATAAAATTTATCTTAATTATGAATTGAACTATTATACTCGTATTTATCGCTCAACATAATAGTTTAGTCATTAGAAATATTCATCAAACGTTGGGCACGAGTTTGTTAGATATTGTGTTTACCAAATCCAGGTCCATGCCTTCAAGACATGGAGCCTTGCAGACAATACCATCACTTGTATTAGATGTAGTTAATGATTTTGTGTTTATTTACACAACATCAACATTATTTACCGTAAACTGCATTTTCAATGCGTGCCATTTCGTCACACAACCGGACTCCCTTTTCATACTTCAGGCTGTTTCCTAATTTTCCTGCCTTGTTCGCATCTGATATTAACTTAACTTTTGGTGTGTTTTCTTGCAGCGCGATGTATCCGGCCTTTGTCTAACTTATTACGAAAGGGTGCCCTTCATAAGCACGAGAGGGAGAGACGTTTTCAAACTTTCCCGGTCCAAGGATCCCGCCCACTGCGCCCATCGCTCGCATGTCGTGTTGCCACTGCCCTCCGGATCTGCGTTGCCCGCCGCCGGAGCCAAATCTCCCCTGCAGTAAGTATCGAAATCAAGCACCGGTGCCGTATGTCCTTCACACACGGCGATATCTTCTGAAAATGGTTGTGTACACAATCGGTTTATAATGTTGAGCTTTATTGCATGAGTACTAGTTTTGAAAACGAGCAAGTTTTCAAATTTGTACGAATGCAATAAGGCAACATTGTAAATGAGTTGCATATGCTATTGTTTTGTGAAACAGCATTATAAATTTAAAACAGAATCAAACTTAATTTTGTGAAACAAATTTCTTGTGGCGTCGCTGGTATTTGACATCTGTGCGAGAAAATGGTGTTTGGCTATTCTGATTACCTCTACCTCCCCACAATTCTCTCGCTACGACTGACTGAATATGTGATGACGCAATCATTCTTGCCATGAAATGCTAATATGTCATTATTTGTGCCGTAAAATGCCAGATTATAAAGAGAAAAGGAAGATTATAATGCTGGTATACAAAAAATATTTTATAACACGTTTCATAAAGCGTACATTTTAGAAAAAATAGTTTGCACAAGCTAAAAGTTTAGAGTTTTATAAAAACAATCATGGTCCATTTTTATCAAATAGTTGATGTGACATCAATCAGCATTCGCCGCTGACGAGAACAACGCAACCCTTGAGAGAACTGCAAAAGCAGAAACGTCAATAAACTGCACTCTTTTCGTATTTGCGTTCGGACGTACGTTAGGATAATTTAGGTTAGATTAATTTTAATGGAGCGTGCTTTAGCTGATGGACATCAAAGACTGTGAATTGGAAAATTGAGTGTCTGGGTGTTTTTTTAGGTTAGAAGGCTCATGAAAATAAGAATATTCTTTAATTGAGAAATTAAATCTACGGCTGTCTTAAAAATCGTTCATACCACTAGAATAAACCACAGGGCAGAACATTTAAATAAAATAGTAGTATGGAATGCAGTATCCAGACTCAGAGCTTTATTGACACGAAATACGTCTGAAGGTATAAATGAAGGATGATTCTTTTATTGTTTTTTTTATTTAACTGGATCTATGAACTCCGTGTTAGTGTTCGCCATTTTGAAAGTAATTTTATAATGCCCGCATCATTCGTAGCCTGATAACTGGTTGGTTGGATCATCAGTCATTACAGTTTGTTAATTGTATCAAAAGCGCTGAGAGCGCGAGGAAACTCGAAAAATCTCTTCTTATTATATTTATAGAACTCAATCAATGGGATTACATCTTTACAGATGAATAGTAGCACAGTGTATTTAATACTATTGGACGATAGGGAAGGCCTGCAAGCAGTGTACATCAGCGCCATATATTGTGTTTAATCGGGTGAGGAACTAATGTCCACTATCTACCTAGATGCACTATACACACGGAACTAACGTCCATAGCAGTTGTGGCGCTGTGTGTGTATGTATTGGAGGGGGAGGCTTCTAAAAGGCGATGCATGTGGCGTTGCAGGGGTGAGCTCAACTGCAACCAGCTCTTCGAGGACGGAGTGCTGCAGGAGGCCACGTGCAGGGAGATGCAGACCCTGAGACCCTTCAGCGTGGAGGTGGGCCCGACCACGTCGCTCGGCGCCACCGCCCACGCCCTGCAGTCGCTCCAATTGGTCAACATCACGGACATCCCCCTTGGCGCTGAGGAGGGTGAGGGAAAGCATGCCATTTTACTCATTGCGTTGCATTCTTAGGGGTTGATAAATGAAGCAACACTAAAGAGAGGGAGGGTGATTGAAGCAGCGTAACAGGGGCAGGGGGTATTCTATTAGTGTTACGTAACAGATATTTTTACATTTCTCTCATTTTTTGACATACTTCCTTTTTTGAATTCTTACACTAAAATATTAAAATATTGTCTAATTAATTTGTTTTCAAACGTAAAATAGTTTTAAAGCTTTAGAAGTTGATACAATAAATAGGAAAAAAATACCGTTTTTTATTTAATATGTAAGATTTAGATTTATTTAGTCAAAAAAACAGTAAAAAACTGTATGTGACGTATGGGGAATAAGGTAATCTGAGTATATTTTCTTGAGTTCTAATATCCCTTCCCATCATTTACCTATAAATAGGTGAAAAAGAATAAAAGTTAAAAACTAATTTAAAATAATAATAATAATAATAATAATAATAATAATAATAATAATAATAATATTATCTGTATTTGTGGCAAGGCTCAAGCCATTTGACCTTTTGTATCGCATAATCATTTTAATAGACTTACATTTCCCTTGCTCATCGACACAGCCATCAGTCGCCTGTAATCTTCTGTGCAGCGGCCATGACGGTACCCACGGACCACGCACCTCGCTGCAGTCGAACCAGAAGCAGACGAAGACGACGACGAGGACGCGGGGAGGACGAGGGGGAGGCGGAGGAGGACGCGTTGCCGTGCTGCAGCGGCTGGCGGCGGCCCGACGCCCCCGCCGACGCCGACGCGACGCCGACGCCGACGCGACGCCGACGCCGATGCGCCGCGGCTGCTGCGCGCCTCACGGCCGCGCTGCGCCGCGCAGACTTCCCGGCGCCCGACCGCCTCTTCCGGCGCACGCACCCCCAGCACGCGCACAGGCTGACACCCTTCGAAAAACGAACACTCAAAAGAATTAAATGCTCACTTGAATAAATCACTTTCTAATACCCAGGCCACAATTTTGGATTCACCAGCAAAGTATCTACTTCACATCAACTGCTCAGACTTGCCGAACACATCCATATAGCTTTCCAAGACAAAAAAACTACAAACAAAAAAAAACAAACAAAAAAAACAACAACACACACACACACAATAAACACATTTAATGACACACAAAAAGCATTTGACAGAATATGGCACCCAACGCTGATATACAAACTCCAATCAATAGGGACACCTAAATACCTAATAAATATCATTAAAAACTTCATCACAGATAGAAGATGCACGGTAACAATTGAAAAACAGATCTCCAATCCGCGAAAAATAATAACAAGACTGCCTCGCACCAATTTGGATTCACCAGCAAAGTATCTACTTCACATCAACTACTCAGACTTGCCGAACACATCCATATAGCTTTCCAAGACAAAAACAACAACAAAAAAACAAACAAAAACAACAACAACACGCACACACACACACACACACACAATAAACACATTTAATGACACACAAAAAGCATTTGACTGAGTATGGCACCCAAGGCTGATATACAAACTCCAATCAATAAGGACACCCAAATACCTAATAAATATCATTGAAAACTTCATCACAGATAGAACATTCCCGGTAACAATTGAAAAACAGATCTCCAATCCGCGAAAAATAATAACAAGACTGCCTCAAGGATCCCCCCTTTCGCATAGTCTTTTCAATATTTATACAGCAGACATACTTACTACATCACACACACACACACAGAGCAGAATTCGCCGACGACACAGTCATCTATAACTCCAGCTAATCAATCGACCTCACTAGAAACAAAATCCAACAGCATTTAAATAATATAGAAGACTGGTCCATTTAATGGAAAATAAAACTTAACCCGACCAAATTAGCAACAAACATCATCTCACTCAGGCCATTTTTCACCCCGCCCCAGTTCATATAAATAATAACACAATTCCATGGATACCAGAAAACCAAACTATCGAATCTTGGACTGAATTACGACATCAGGTTAAATTGAAAATATCGTATATCAGAAAAGCTACAAATCACTAAAATAAAATTAATCCACCTAAAGCCCTTACTCAACAACAAAAGAAAAACTTCATTAAACGATGCAATAGCTTTATATAAAACAATAATTAGGCCGCTTATACTCTACGCGTACCCTATATGGATCAATGCATCCCAAACAAACATAAACTGACTTCGAATGATGGAAAACAAATTCCTCCGAATAGCATCAAATGTTCCCTGGTTCATATCAAACAGACAACTCCACAAAGAACTAAACCTACCACCTATCTCCCACCACATAGCCCACCTATCTAATAACTTTTAATCAAATATAAACTCAATACCAAGCCGTCCACTATTACTTAACATCAATCAACTATTTACCAAAACGTATATTAAAATCAGATTTCCATTAGAAGCATTCCTAAATATTTTTTCACACAAAAACTAATATAGTAGGTGCTCTACGAGTCCATATCAATTTTTAGTGAGTATAATGAAATGTTAAGATAGAATAAGAATAATTATAAGTCAACAAAATACTTATGAAGAAGTAAATAATACTGAACTATGTAAACATCAAAATTTTTAAAAAACGCGCACATGTGGGCCCCACCCCTCCCCGCCATGTGGTATTTAATAGTACTATTTCACGAGTGAAATTATGTCTAACAGAGTTGCACGATGCGCCAAATATCGAAAGTAACTGAAAGCTTATGTTAAAATTAGAGATTATGTTATGGTACATACGCTCTTTATTGTACATCGACATGGCGATCGATGTATACCGCCTCCTAAGATAGATGAGTCCCAGTTTATGATTGGCCAGGAGGTAGAAGCGGTAAGAAAAACCGGATAGAAAAAGCAATAAACTTTTTGAGATAAACCGCTCTGATTGGAGCATTTTGTATATATAGGTAAACACTTTTGGTTTTATTTTCACGAGTGGAATAATCACGTTTAATCTCCGATTGTTGAAACGAATAGAAAAGGAAATTATTCTTAATTTGAGTAATAAACATTCTATTTAAATTTGTATTTGAACTTCAATCTGAATTATTATTCTTACTAAGACTTGTTTCACTTTTTGCTTTGATTGGGTTTTTGTAATTCAATATCAAAAATACCCGATTTATGTCGCAGCATTACAATATTTTCCTTTTACTGCCTACGTCCGTAGTAAGGCAATAAAGTAAAAAAAAAACGAGTACGTGTTTTTCTCCCACACACCACAGATAATTAGAAAAACCCTTTTTTTCTGTCGTAATCGTCAAGGATGGAATATTAATTGCGCACTACGCTTAGCATTAGATGTCTTTGAATTTTATCGTTCACGACGTACACGTTCTTTTGTCAACGGTTTTCGTTTTATCGGGCCTTAACTATCATTCACTAGTTCAGTCACCCCAATTGTCACAACAGTGTGTACTAATTCTTATCAACAGACTCAGTTCAAAGTATGACCGCGGTCAACATTTTCTGAGAGGGACTTTGGGGTCGTTAACCCAAGAGAATGAGAGCTAACTGAATGTCTCCAGCTTGTGTGGTTTATGTGTCTTACTAAGTCAATGAAAGAAACAGTTTAGTGCAAATAGAAAAACATCAACATTATCTCCAATTTTCTAGTAATTATTAGAGTGTTTTGATTCATTGGATGTAGAATCAGCTTTCAATCAGTTTATTTAGTTTTCAGTTACTAAGTGTTTTTCATGTTACTATAATTTAAGATAAAATATCAATTTTTGAAGTCTGCAACGAGTACGTTTGTAAACAGCCACGAAATGAGATAGTTGTTATTCATTGTAATACAAACGAACGCAGTTATACCTCTAATGCATTTTTGCGAATTGTTTCATTCTTCCAACTACCCATACGATACGTTTCCGATCCTCTTCAAATGGGCACTGAGAACCCGTAATTTGAATAAAAGACCACAGAGGTGCTTTTCGGGGGGTCTTAAACCTCAATCAATTCCTGATGCGGAATCGTGGCTAAAGCAGGCGTTGCTTGCAGTTAGTACCCATATAAATTTGGCACAGGACAAAGGCAATACAACGTCGTGTTTTGTCTCAAGAAGATAGAGAAGATGAATTAGGCATAGAGTGTAAATAAATCAAAATTTACTTTTATTTTTTCCTTTATTCACAACTACGTGCAGTGCACAGCGTTGCATTTTTAGAATAAAATATTATTGAGAGAAGAAATGAATTCTTTCTAATATGTTATGGTAATTATTTTAGTATTTTTGATTCGTCGCTCTCTGGTACCTCAATTATTATGCCTTCTTTGCACTGATGTTTAAGGTTCCTAATTTAAAGGTCACGTCCCTTTTAACATTAATTAGTTGCAATTATTTTACCCTATTATCGACTCAATGATTTTTATAACTTTTATAGATAATTTGTTAATATTGAAATTTACTTCAGGAATAAAGTAGATATAAACATACAACGATACACCGTGATTATATTATATTATATTTCATTACGCCCTGAGGAAGGTCGCAGATGGCGACCAAAACGTCGGCACCTTTGCCATGGACGCGGCGTCACCCGGACAGCCAATGAAATACGGACCCTGGCTGCGGAAGCCTACGCTCTCATATTATATTTCATTTTATCTTTAGCCTTACTTCATATTTTCTTCCTGAATATTGTTTCTTAATTTTTATTCATTCCACACCATTTAGAATTTTTGCAACATCAATTCAAGTTCATGCAACTTAGCGTAAGGAATGTAAACCAGTGCTGCAAAGCCACATTTCCTCTTCGCACTATTTCATCCGATCCATTTATGATTCTATTCTCACATCTTTCGCTTTCCACTGTCGAAAACACAAACCGTACGAGTCTATACACCAATACACAAAACAAGAGAATTCAGAACGGAAAGAATAAATAATACTCGACAATTAACTAAATATAAGTCAAATTTGATGGTACAAAATACTGTAAAAGTCTCAGAATACACCGAATATCTGGACCAAGATCTGAAACTGATACCATCCAGCCTGATAATAAGGCAATTCTGTCCACATAACTGATGTGTTTATTGTATAAGATATAAAAAAGAGTAATTGAACTGATACTATTGTTGGGATTACTATGCTGCAGGTTA